AATTCAAGTTCTGTTGCATGCAGCAAGGGAAGGAAGTTAGGTTGGGAGTCAGGTTAGTCAAAGAGGCAGTAAATGGACCAGGTGAGCTTCATGGCCAAGTAGGGCATTTGAACCCTGGTCTCCCAGGTCTTAGTCTGACTCTCTAACTGCTGCACCGCTCTGGCTCTTGATGGAAAGGGAAGGCAGCTAGGAGTGTCGTGCTGCCAGAGAGGTGGAGTGGACAGAAGCTGAGAGCTGAGAACAGCATAGAGACTTGCTTTCTCAGGGCTGAGGTCTCATCCCCATGCTGCAGCAAACATAGAAGATGCACAATACCCATAGATAAGAAGGATTTAACTCAGGCATAGGCAAACTCGGCCCTCCAGATGTTTTGGGACTGCAACTCCCATCATCCCTAGTGGTCAGGGATGATGGGAATTGTAGTCTCAAAACATCTGGAGGGCTGAGTTTGCCTATGCCTGAGTTAACTGTACCAGTGAAATGCCACCTATGTCTTTGCTTGATCACATATAATTCTATTATATGGTATACAAAGAGTAATAACAGTAATCAAGAGGAGGCACATACGAAGCAGCAGGAAAATAAAGAACATGTATTGGGTTGGGGGGGGTCTTGGGCAGATGCCCTTTGGGTGGGGTTTCCTGAGTAACCCCACCTCCTCTTCACTGGGGTTGTCAATGCCCATTTGCTTGCCTTCTCCTTCTAGGACCAATCAGTAACATTAGCCAGAGAGAGAGAGAGAGAGAGAGAGAGAGAGAGAGAGAGAGCGCAAAAGGCGAAGGCAAGCCGGGGTTTCTGATTTTCCTTCCTGTTATCTGTGGTTGCATGTTCAGAGAGGGCAGGTGAACAAGCCTCAGTAGCAAGGAGGGAGAGCCGTAGGGTCAGGGGGCTCTGGGGTTTGGCAGTGGAACTCCTGATGTGGTGTGGACCTTGGCTAATGCTCAGCTCTTTCAGCTGCTTTGACCTCAACGTTGTTGTTGGAAAAGGAGGATACAAATAGTAAATCAAATCAAAATCGCATCAGATCAAACCACTGATGCTGGCCCGAACTTGGTTGAAAAACAGATTTTATTCCCCTCTTCAGAATTCCCTACATATTTCAACCATGCACATTCTTCCCGAAAATGCTACACCATTGGGAAACTCAGGCCACACTCAAGGAAACTGAATGAAACACTGAGTGCAATCATTGCAATTGGGAACTTCCCAAATCTGAATATTACACACCTTGGGTGGGTGCCATGCTGTACAACCCAATGTTCATTTTTTATCACATTTTTTATGATGATTATTTTTTAGCTGGAAGGATGATGCACATTTGTTAGTAATTTGTAAATGCGTACAGGATTTTGCAAACAGCCCAGACGCTTTTGCTCAAGATTATGGTTCTGTTGTGGGGATATCACATTTTCTTGGCACCATGTGGATTCTTTTTTTTTTTAAATAAGGATAAAAAAACAACCCTGGAAAACTGCAACTGCTGTTGTGTTTGCAGTGTGGAATGTGGTAGTGCAAGTGTCACATTAGATACTGCCCCTGACAAAGTTAGTGATGAGTGCTCAGCTCCCTCTTATTACCACATTGTGAATTAATTTTTTTGTATGAACTTGGTGATCCTTAACCCCTTCCCTGCTGCAGCCCTACCACTGCCACCCAACTTATAAAGGGGAGCAAGATCACTAACTTCCACCCTCTGTTCTCTTCATGCATGTTGAGGGATGATTCCCTCCCTGTTTTAAATAATGTTTATGCTTAAAAAGCTTGTACTCTTCCATTGAGCCTAAGTTGTTGACCTCATAGAAGGGAGCAGGGGAGTCATCCCACTGCCTTACTGCTGGAATAGTGCCTCTTTTGATGCTGAGTAGGGACTATGGAGGTGTCACACCAACAAGGAAACATAATTACGGAACACTTTTTTGTTTGAGCAGAAATTCTTTCTGAGTCTTTGCTTGACCAATTAACATTCCAGTGGTTCCATTATTCTAGGGCTGTTTGGTTGTGGCTATGGGGCCATAAAGATCCCTCCCTGTACCTTCTTATTGTCTTGCAGGAGAAGAAAACTCCCAAAGCAGAGTGGAGGACAAGCTGAGCTACTTGACAACCATCACTCAATAGTTTGTTAATATAGTGGTGGCATTTTTTTTTACAAGCCATTTAGAGGGTTTATCACCCCACCCCATCCCACCATTGAAGTGCCTTGTAGGTGCTTTGCTCCAAAATTCAGGAGAGGAGGCCAGATTGAAAGGCAAAAGACCCCACCTGCTAGGTAGCTCCAGGGGCAGTTTGTCTCTCTGTAACTTGCAATCTGCATGATGTTATTAACTGTTTCTTTGTTGGTTTCATTAGACCCCTATCTCTCTTGAGTAAATGGAAAACTTTGCAATCCAAGGACTACTGCAAAGTATGACTTTACAGGTGTGTTTGTGTGCTGTCACTTTAAATTTCTCCAACTGCTACTGATTGAATGATTTTTGTCCATGTCAATGCGGACACTTTTTTTCTTTTAAAGCCGTTTGCAGTGGCATGGTGACCATAGCCTGATCCATATGAATGGCTTATCACATGGGAACAGTCACCTTGTGAAGCAATCGAAGCAATGCGGCAGCCATAACATTTGTAGTCTTCAGTCTTCATTTGGATCAAGTGATTCATGCTGTTGGATCAAGTAAAGAGAAGTTGAAAACAAGTGCTCAGCCAAAAAGTGGAAGAGGGAACCAATACTGTTTCTGGGTGGGTGGGGGTACAGGAATTACCCCTTTTTGATAATTTTTCATAGTCTTGCAAAAGAGGGCGAGAGAAGAAAAATGTCCTGGTTGCCAAGACAATCAAGCTGAGGCTCCTTGTGTTGCAACAACAAGACCGCCACAGTGCAGCAGGGCAAAACAAAAGCATTGGCCCTGTTGCCTTGGCCCTTGGTAGCTAAACCAGATTGGCTACAGGTGCCACACATGACACCATGGTGGCTGGTGCCCAGTGGGGCTGGAAGGGCAGAAGACCAACAACAGATGGAACCAGCTAATAATGATAGGTGGAACCAGCTGTCCTTCTCCCTGCTGAGTTCTACAAGGGCAAAACTGAGGCTCGGGGTGAGGGAGCCGATAGGCAGTACCCTCCCTTGAACTGGTTGTGTGTAAGAAGGCAGGCAGGTGAGAACTGAGTGAGAGCACACTGAGGTTGGTGAGGCAGCACCATTCTCCCTAATGGACCACTGCATATGTCATTACATCGCTTACATGTCCCCCGACTGGCTGAGATCGCTTGAGATTAAAGAAAACAAAATGGTGCCAAAGTGGCAGCAATGGAGGAAAGTGGTGGTTGGGAACAAACACAAACACTGTGTGTGAATGATTTGGGGCTGGGGGGATTGTCAAATCAGCAGCAATTAGCTGCCTCTTGGCCCCGCCTGTCAAAGAACTCATTCCTTTAGTGACCACCTGGTTATTGGACAGGAAGGGTGCCAACTTGAATGAAACATTGGGGGGGTACCTGCCCCACATGATTGATCACATGATATGGTCACACAAACCGTTTGAATGGCAATGCCCATCAAATTGGGGGGGCGCCCCCTCAAATATTTTATTGGAGGGGTGAAGGGACCTCGGACCCTAGGAGTTGGCTCCTATGTTATACAGCTTTCATGTACTTCATTTTGGTTGTTTCCTCCTTCTCACTCCAAACCCTTCTTCCTATTAAATTGCTAAATTTCCCCACTCCCTGGTCCTGGGATTCTTCATAAGGAAGCTGTGCCTGGAGGAAGAACTGTGAGGGGGGAGACTCCATCAGGCAAGGCCTCTTTCCACCTGCCTTGCCCCACCCTCCAGTCTCTGCTTCTTATTTTGTATTGTATTATGTTGTGCACTGTGGTTTGCTGTTGTTTTATTGATTGGAGTTTAGAAATTACTTATTGTAATTGTTGAGTGGATTTCTGTTTAATTTTGAAATGCTGATATTTAATATTATTTTATATTATTTTACTGAATGTTGAATGTTATTTTATTTGCATATTGTATATTGTATTATGCATATTGTCTTATTTATATGATGTTAGCCGCTCTGAGCCTGGCTTTGGCTGGGGAGAGTGGGATACAAATAAAATTTATTATTATTATTATTATTATTATTATTATTATTATTATTATTAAGACTTTCCAGCCAGCTTTTGTTTTATTCTTTGTCCAGCGCAGAGCAGAATGTTAAGCACTGGAGAGATAATGGTGACTGTGTGGGTTTTGTTTATTAAGAACATTTGCTTCCTCGTATGGGCTTTTATCAGAAATTGTAGAGCCGTCAACCACTTTAGGCACCTTTATCAGTGGTGGATTGGGGATTTAGTGCCCCTTCTTTATGAAGTCTGTATTTATGGCATGTGCTCGTACAAGGAGCTCAGAGTGGTGTACATGGGGCTATCTTATTTTTATCCTACAGACAGCCTCTGTGAGGAGGCATTTTGGCTCGTTCAAGACCACCCTGAGAGTTTCATGGAAGATCTGAACTTTCTGCCTCTTTAAACTCAGCTCCCATTCTGTTTTGCCACACTGGCTCTGTAGGGCAGTTCAAGAAAATATTAATCTTCCAGAGTTTTATATAATCTCTGTTTGAAAATTACATAATTCTAGAGTCCTGTCTCCCAAGTTAAAGATGCCCATTAATTTCATGAAACCTCCCTGGACTCAAACACCCTCCTCCCCCAGATCTTGAGACTCCACCCTTCATATTCACATATCTATTTTGGATCTGGATCTGTTTTGAAATGGATCTGAACAGGACCTGAAGTGCAAGGATGGCTAATCTTTCTTGGTCCAATTCACCCTTAGCCAATCCTCCGGGTACCACATGCCAGTGGCAGGAGTGGTCAAATGTGGGCATGTGCGCACTCTCTCTCTCTCTCTCATATGCATGGCATACATACTGTATACCACACAATCAGGACACACAGAACAAACAAACAGGATACAGCCCTCTCTAGTGGATTAGTTTAGGAGGGTGTTTGTGGGGGGGGGTGCCATATCTACTCAGTCAATAGAGCATGAGACTCTTCATCTCAGGGCCGTGGGTTTGAGCCCCACCTTCGGCAAATAATAGCTGCATTGAAAGGAGTTGAGCATAGTCCCTTCCAGCTCTCCAACTGTATTATTCTATTATTTTTCCTCCAGCCGCCAAAATTGTTTGGGTGTTGGGAGTGTCCCAGAAAAATTGCTATGAAGGGCCCACCATGGGTTAGCAACACCTGCTTTAGAGGTTGGGCTATAGCACAAAACAACATTCTTTGGGGTCAAATCCCCCATACCACTAATTCAGTCCCTCACAAATGCCCATCTTTGAGACCTAATGTAAAAAAAAGAAGGGGATGCAAGCAGCACCCTATTCTTGGCATGAAAGAGTTTTCTACATGCCCAATATGCTTTGTACTGATTATGTCCTTACCGTTGCTTAGGACCTAGGAGCTTTATCTGCTTATGTAATTCAAATTTAGAGATAATTACAATAATTAAAATAGGAACTAATAATAACAACAACAATAATTTTATTATTTATACCCCGCCCATCTGGCTGGGCTTCCCCAGCCACTCTGAGCGGCTTCCAAAAAAATATTAAAATACTGTAATACATCAAACATTAAAAGCTTCCCTACAGGGCTGCCTTCAGATGTCTCCTAAAAGTCTGATAGTTGTTTTTCTCTTTGACATCTGGTGGGAGGGCGTTCCACAGGGCGGGTGCCACTGACAAGAAGGCCCTCTGCCTGGTTCCTTGTAACTTGGCTTCTCGCAGTGAGGGAACTGCCAGAAGGCCCTCGGTGCTGGACGTCAGTGTCCAGGTAGAATGATGGGGGTGGAGACGCTCCTTCAGATATACTAGGCCAAGGCCGTTTAGGGCTTTTAAGGTCAGCACCAACATTTTGAATTGTGCTCGGAAACGTACTGGGAGCCAATGTAGGTCTTTCAAGACCGGTGTTATGTGGTCTCGGCGGCCGCTCCCAGTCACCAGTCTAGCTGCTGCGTTCTGGATTAGTTGTAGTTTCCGGGTCACCATCAAAGGTAGCCCCACATAGAGAGCATAGCAGTAGTCCAAGCGAGAGATAACCAGAACATGCACCACTCTGGCGAGGCAGTCTGCAGGCAGATAGGGTCTCAGCCTGGGTACCAGATGGAGCTGATAAACAGCTGCCCTGGACACAGATTTGACCTGTGCCTCCATGGACAGCTGTGAGTGTTTCACAGTGTGTTTCACCATAGTGGAAAGCAAGAGTGTGACCAAGTGACAACCTGTGTTTCTACTCTGTTTGCTGCCCAGGTGCTATCTGCTGGTGGCAAACTTCAAGATCCAGACCCTTCCTTCTTATGGCTCTTTAAATTGGACTTCTGATGAACAGCTCTTCGAACAGAGGACTCCTTCAAACTGAGGTGTGTGACACCTGTAAAATAGCACCCATGGCCTAGATTTGGAGTCTGAGCATCCATGTAGCAAAAACTGAGTCCATATAATGGACAGAAGCTATAGTGCTTTAAATCAACACAACATGGTGCAAGAGGGTTTAAAAGGAATAATGAGAAGCAGTGAGATTTTCAGGCAACACCTTCCATGCCTAGAAAACAGCAGCACAAAAGAAAGTTTTCTGAAAATGCACAAGAGCTTAATCCAAATAGTAATAAGATGCCAGACTCTGGAAAACTGAATCCAGTCTACATCATAGCTAAGCAATGGATGGATGGGGGACAACGTGCTTATCAGATCTAATGATTTCTGGACATCCACTGAAACGTTACCAAACAATTTCCTTTCTAGTGAAAGCCTCTTCTGCATAAAGGCATTTAGTGAATGCTGACTTTGAGCACTGAGAATGCTTCCTGTACACTTAGGAGATTTCTTCTGAAATGTGCTGCTTTACTCCTCCAGTAACCAGTCACTGACTTCTAATTAATTTGAGCTTTTCACTGACTGAATGAGGCATTGCCAGTGTCACTCATGCACCCAGCAATACCATGTGTGCAAGGAATCCAACCACTGAGCAGTAGGGCATGGGGAGAGTTTGCAAGATCTTCTTCAGAAGCCCCACTATGAATTCCCCCACTAAATGAAATGTGGCAGGTAACTACCAGGGAGAGGACCTTGTTGGTACTTGCACCCTGGTTATGGTTCATCTGCCACCTTATGGTCATTTTTGTGCTGGGTAAAAGTCTTTCTCATTCACCCAAATAACTGAAATCTTATGGTCTGGTCCTCGGAGATTTATGTATTTTAACTGTGTTGTTGGTATTGGTATTTTCAGCACAATTACCCATGTTGTTTTACTGCCACAAGAAGGTTTGTAGACCATGGTAATGAAAGGGTCAAATGGGATTTTGAAACCAGGGTGGAGAACTGGAGAGAGAGAATTCAGGGTGGGGGGTTCAGAAAGGAATCTAGTGATATCATAGCCATGCTATTTAAAAGCAAAGGACGGTGGAATTCCTCACCTAATCCAACATCCCAACAGCTTAAAGGAAAACTATGATGTAATAAAAGATAACACTCGATCTAAGTACAAAGAAGATTGAAGCTGTACTTCGTAAAAAACCTCTCTATGCAAACTACACCCTGTGATCCAGTCCATTAACATTTCTCCCCTAATGCTCTCATTTAATGCTAGTGATTCCTCCAATGTTTTAAACCTATAGCAATAAAAAGAGGAGCTCACCATCAAAACCTATTGAGAAACAAACATTTTCACTAAATCCTGGTGCAAAGTGATTTTGCAAATAATATATATGCCAACCATTAACCATTATGAAACTTGCTTATGACATTTTATGTTTAAATCATTTCTGACAAAGAAAAATAGTTCCCACCCACCATACTGGGCAGGTTATGGGGCAAGCTGTTGCTCAAATTCATCCCATTTTCACTACATCAATGTTCTTGTGCTTTTGTAAAACAAAAAAATCATTTCCTCAGTAATTATGTGGGCTAGACATTTGACTTTAATAAATGCAAGATTCTCATACAAAATACCTTGTGATGAGCATATGATCTACCTCATTGGATCTAGAGATTTGCATACAGACCCTACAATTGTCTTGGTCACAAGTTCTCAGCATCTGTCATCTGATTAATATATGGTTTACCATACAACACCAAACATAAAAACATAATAAAAGCCTGCTGGATCAGGCCCATGGCCCATGTAGCCCAACATCATGTTCTCACAGTGGTCAGCTAGATGCCTGTGGGAAACCCACAAGCAAGATTCAAGCACACGAGAACTCTTCCCCTCCTGCGATTCCCAGGAACTGCTACTCACAAGCTTCGCTGCCTCTTACTGTGGAGACAGAGCATAGCCATCATGGCTAGAAGCCATTGACAGCCCTCTCCACCACGGCTGTGATTGCAACTCTATCTGCACACCTTGGCTGGCTATACAGATGCAACTGGCTCTCCTTTGAGGATGATGACAGCATTGATCTTACGTTGCGGAAGAGGGGAGATGGCTAGGACCAGCTCATCAGAATGAATGAATCCAAGTTAAGCTACAAGAAAATGTAACAGAAACCCAATACATTTCAAACTCTTGACAGTCTTCTCCAAGAGAAAATCTGAAGTCACTTCTGGATGACCCGTTTGTTGAACATCCATCTTGATTTGTTTGCCATGAGAGCAGATGATGTTGGTTGTTTATTGAGAATTCATTCTAGTTTGTTTTCAGAGAAGTTAGATGACAATTGTGACAAGCGTCATCCCACACTTGCCATTGCCTCTCCTTGCCACTTTCCTTATTGCAACAAGTCCAATTTTTGGGTGGGAATGGGTTTGTTGCCCAAGACTTCCCCATCAGCTTGAATTGTCCAACCTGAATTTGGAGATATATCATTGAAAAACTAGTGACAGTCTGGAAGTGTCCTGCATTTAGAAAAGGTATGTCTTTTATAATTGTGCAACTCAGCTTGCAGAAGAGGGGTTTGCATGGGGTTAAGACAAGGTGAGGGACATCAACATTCAAATACTATCCCAGTAAACTTATCAGCTTACTTCCCTAATTCATTGTTGCTTAGACTGATACTTCTTAGGTTGTACCCTGGTTACCGTTTCCTCTTCCTCACACTTCTTCCTCCAATGTTCTTGTCACGTTACCCATTTTTCTCTTTGCTGCCCATGCTCTGTTCTGAATTCCTGTTTGGATGTAAAACAAGAAAAGAGCTCAGTGGCACCTTAAAGAATAACAATTTTTTAATGGCCTAGAATCATCTAGTGCATGAAGTCTTATCACTTGGTGCTTTATCTTTCTCTCTCATATCACATGCAGAGGATTTTTAAAGCATCCATCAATAGAGGGGGGGAATAGGGCCATATCACCATGAAATGAGAAAAATGTACAATTCTGTATCAAGCTGGTGATAAGCAATGTGATCATTCACAATAGCTGTAACTGAGGATAACACAATCATCCCACCAGAGATTTCTGAGCTATCACCCATCCCAATGGCTGTGTTTGTGTCATCACCCATTAATGCAGTTGTGAATGGTTACTTTGCCTATCTTAAGCTTTGAAAGAATTTGTCAAAGACTTTAATTTTTTGCACTTCTTTGTTATTTGGCCCCATTCCTCCCCATCTATACCTTTGTATATGTATGCATGCAAACACCACTTGTGGATAATACTTACAATTCACACATCTAATGAAGTGGATTCTGGTCCACAAAGGTTTGCGCTCAGTAATTCTGTTAGCCTTTAAGATGTTCTTCGTTGTTTAGACACGGCTGTTCATGGCAAGTTTCCCACCAGGGGTAAAACTTTCCATCTAGCTAGATAAGACCCTCTTCCAGGTGGGCAAATTTTTAGACGTACAATCCTTCCCCACTACATGGTTGTGCTGGCAAGTCTCAAACACAATTTCACATAAATGCATAAATACAGTGATACCTCAGGTTAAGTACTTAATTCGTTCCGGAGGTCTGTTCTTAACCTGAAACTGTTCTTAACCTGAAGCACCACTTTAGCTAATGGGGCCTCCTGCTGCCACTGCACCACCGGAGCACGATTTCTGTTCTCATCCTGAAGCAAAGTTCTTAACCCGAGCTACTATTTCTGGGTTAGCGGAGT